CATAAATTAGAAATTTGGCCGTCTTTGGTCGCTTAGGCTTACTTTAGGACTGATGACTGAATTTTCTCGTAACGAAATGCTTAATTCTCACTGCAAATTATGATCTGGCTTGTAAATAGGTCCAATTTAGAAGCCTTAATTGCATACTTAGGTTAGCAACTCTGTCCTTTATTGATAATGACTGAATTTAATTAATTTTAAAGTAAATTGATAGTATATTAATACGAGCTGAGTCTATCGGAGTATTTTGATACAAGATGCCATCAAATGGAATAGTAAAAAACAAAATATTTTGTGGGATGCTGAGATATCACATTTAGGCGTAAAACTAGGAAGCCCATAAAAATAATTGAGACTGAAAATCTTCTGAATAAAAGGGTTAGTGTTGGTTGATTAATCGGTTTGTGAAGATAAAGAGAGAGAGAGAGCACAGGAAGAATCTCAAAGCATGACGATTTTAGTCAAGGATTCTACACTTCACACGACACATGAGCATGCACACGCACGCACGCACAAGATGCGTACTAGCACAAGTACACGAGTCAGCATTGCAGGAGGAAATATTCATGAGATTTTGGTATTTGGTCATAAATGCAACGATACAAGAAATAGGTTGAATTGCTACCGGATACCTTTACTGTCTTAGTGCTTGATGAAGTTTTAATAAACAAGGATTTCATCTTCAGAGTATACTTGCCAACTTAATGATGAGGCCTTTTTTACGCAAAGTTTCATTCTTCCGAGTGAATTATTTTGCTAGTCTCGAATACTACTTGATTCATCACTCTCAACTTCACAATATGAGTTTGCCTGGCTGACACCAATGCTATCACAAAGTATGAGTTGCAAGTCTTCTGGTTTGCCACGAAAATGGCTTCTGACCTGCGGCCCAATTGTACTCGAATTATCCTTAGAGGGATAATGTGCTGATTCTTGAAGCAAACTTGCGGTTTGAGGGCGATGTAGGGAGTAAAGCGTCCGTATCATTGACCCGATTGGAAGACTTCTTCTTACTGACAATGAGTATCTTGAACAACCTGAATTGCTCTAAAATTCATAGGCGCTCGAACGGTGTGATCGAATGAAAATGTGCTTATATTTGGCGAGCACAATAAGTAATACAGAAACCTCATAAACTCATTTTTGAAAAGCTTTCGACGCTACCCTAGATAGTATAAGGTGATGAAGGACTTATATTTGAGTTTTTCCACAATATGATGCCATTGAATTTCACTTAGCCTTACTTCGCAAAAGGTATTCTCGTCCAAGGTCGAGAGTGTTGCACGGCCTGGATGAGAATCTGTTTCGGTAAGCAAGGCTAAGCAAAAAGTGAAACTTTATCATGTTATTATGGGATAGTTCAACTATCAATCAAAATCATCCTTATTGCGTATCTAAAGTGCAGACTGATACTCGAATGCTTCATTACTTCGTTCGTTGGGAAACTTAAACTGACACATATATTCCATTTATAGGTAGGTTTTAAAGGCTATAACTAGAGCTTATGTATGAAGGGTATTCCTTCTATTTCGTTCTCTTATTACCATAAAACGAAATGTGATGAATTCACCTTAAACTGGCCTATTCATTAGGCTTCCCACTTTGCTAATTCTTTGCTTTATCTTGCAATGCACGGTCTAGCATTCTCTCGAGCAATTGGCTCACCTCCTTGGCTGCAGTACCAAATGTCGCCTCTCGACCGCATTTCGGCGAGCTGACGGAAGATGTGCATAGCCGCATATTCCGCGAAGGTTTGCCCAGCACCGGACGTTTCTGGTCAAGCTTCCTACGACCCCTTGTCCGTCTACAGCGACTTGACCTTTCCGGGAACCAACTCAGTCGCCCTAGCGGCTGCCTGGACTTCAGTTCCAACCTGCCCGCCAGCCTGATTCGGCTAGACTTACGTGGCAATCCACTCATCGGACTCGACTGGCTGGTCCGGCAACCGCATGAGTCTGGCGCCGAAAGTGCAGCCGGCCTGGACAAGCCCGGAAGTCTGGTATTTCCTCGTCTCCTCGAGCTGCAGGTCAACACGACCCGCCTCCACTGCGACCCCAGCCAGCTCGGCCTGCTGCTGGCGCTCCGGCGCTCCAAGGCCAGCCTGCCTCTCGGACTGGCCCCACGATGCGGCCAACCCGAAGAGTTGGCGGGACGAGGATTCATCGAGTTGGCGCCGGAAGAGCTGTCTGCCATCCGGGCAGCCAATGGGGCCAGTTCTGTACTGCCTGGTGCTCCCACGGCCCGGTCGACACCAGACCTCGAGGACGCGCCGAGGGGATCGAGCCGTAGCCCAGGCTGTGACCAGGCCATGGAAACCACCGCC